GGACGAATAGGTTTGTGTCCCCTGCACCTCACAGCTTTTGAGTTTGCCTGCCAGTTCTGAGAGTGGAGAACTGAAGGAAGTCCAGAAAGTCAAAGTCGATTTATATTTGGAGGATAAGGAAGAATTCGATGAGGAAAGAAAACAGTCGGAACCCCGAGGGAAGAAAGCCAAGACTGAGTTCTTTGGGAATTTGGGGGTGGTTTTGAAAGAGTGGGGGAGATGAGGAGTGGTGCCATGCTCTGGCGAGGAGTGTACTGAGGAGACGGTAGGATGAGGATATTTGGATGTTTTTTTCTGGCTTCCATAACTCGCTTCCCACTTTGAACTTTGCTAAGACGTTGCCGTGACCATTCCCATTATTATTATTTTTTCCTGGATACCTGGGATTCTGTATTGAGATGGACCACAAAGCAATGCAGCTTTACAAAGATGGCACACATCTGTTTACCGACCACTCTCTCTAAACTTATGTTAATTTCATATTGCAAGAGTAGATCATGGTGATGGAGAATTTTAAACAGTCCAGAGCTGGACAAAATAAAAAGCAAAAGTTCACTGGGAACCTCATCAACTGAATATATAACCATATATAAAGGAATATATTTCCAGCTGGTGGCTGTACTCACAGGTTTTTCTTCTATGCATATACTAATGTGTTGTTGATATTTGCAAAATGGGCCTACGTTCTATATACTTCTGTGCAACTTGCTTTTTTCTCTTGTTGGTACCACATGCCATCTCTTTGGTTGGCACAAACCTTTTAGAAATTCTAGCAAAGTTTTCCATCTTGCAGATTTACCATCATTAAAAAAAAAAACCCTGCTCATTATTCATAGGCATTTAGGCTATATGTCCAGCTTTCTGATGTTATAAACAGTGCTGCAATGAGCATTCTTGAACATATGTACATAATAGATTCTACCCAAAACTACCTTTTAAAAAAGAACAAAACTTGTCTCTCCCCTCTCTCTCTCTCTCTCTCTCTCTCTCTCTCTCTCTCTCTCTCTCTCCCCCCTGAGTGGTGGTTGCCTGCAAAAGCATGACACCAGTGTCATAAAATGTGGCCCTAGAGGTCCTGTCATTGAGAATCCCCCCATACCTGCCTCGGATGGCTCTGTAATCTTAGGAATTCCCTCTTCTATTATTACTGGAATTTGCGTGGAGAGAATTAAACTATACACATCAAATGATAGTATCATTCCCTAGTCTCTGATTTGTCTCCCACATAATGTTATTTGTCCTATGTGCTAAGAAAAGGACATAGCTGCTGTTTATCTATTGATATTTCAAGTCATGAGGCAATAGGCTTCCCTTAACTCATAACACATGAGAAAGAACAACGGTCCCAGAAAACGTATTTGTTGTTTGTATCATCCCAATTGCTTATTGAACTGTTTTCTTGCACCTAAATTCAGAACTGCTACAAAGGTTTTACTTTCAACTCTACTCCATTGTTTTCAAGAAGATGTGCTGTGCTCTATCTGCAATTGCTGGTAATGTAGCCAGGTAATGCCTTGTGCTTGTGGGTCACTTTATGCTTTGAGCAAGCTCATTTTCAGCCGTGAGTGAATTAGTCTATGCCCTTAAGGTAAAGCAATATTACTTTCAGAATAGATGGAGATGGCTTTTGCTTATATTAAGAAGCAATAATATAAATCCCTACAAGAAAAAGCTCCTTAGTCACTCAATCAGCTAGATTAAACTATAGGGACACTTTAATATATTTGTTAATTTCTAGAACAGTGTTTCTCAGGTGTGGGCCAGCGGCCCTTTGTCTTGGGATCACTTTAGAGCAGCGGTTCTCAACCTGTGGGACGCGACCCCTTTTGGGGTCGAACGACCCTTTCACAGGGGTCGCCTAAGACCATCGGAAAACAAAAAGATATTTACATTACGATTCATAACAGTAGCAAAATTACAGTTATAGAGTAGCAACGAAAATAATTTTATGGTTGGGGGGGTCACCACAACATGAGGAACTGTATTAAGGGGTCGCGGCATTAGGAAAGTTGAGAGACGCTGCTTTAGAGTCTAGTTAAAATGCAGATTCATGGGCCCCGATCTAGGCTTAAGTGGTCAGAGTTTCTGGAACAGTGCTCCTAGGAATCTGCATATTCAATGAGAGATGAAGACATTTCTCATCCTGCCCAACTTTTCCACAGGTCGTGGATTTATCCATAAATGTTTTTGGGGTCTTCCTTGTGCCCGGTATATGTTGTGCGTTGGAGGGGTGTGATAGGCAGAATAACCCCTACCCCCTCAAAGATATCAATTTCCTAATCCCCAAACTCCTTGAATATGTTACCTTATACGGCAAAAGGGACTTTGCAGCTGTGATTAGGCTAAAGATTTTGAGATGGAGAGGTTATCTTGGAATATCCGATTTGGCCCAATGTCATCACAGAGGTCCTTAGAAAAGGGAGGGGGAGGGTCCGAGTTAGAGAAGATGTGACAAGGGAAGCAGAGGTCGCAGACATGCAGAGCTGGAGACCGGCCATGAGACAAGGCACAGAGGCAGCCTCTACAAGCCAGAGAAGACAAGGAAACCGATTCTCTCCTAGAGCCTCGGGAGAGGGTGTGGTCCTGCACGCCTTGACCTTCTCCCATTGAAACCTGTTTAGACTTTGGACCTTCAGGACTGTAAGAGAATGAATTTGTATTTTAAGCCCCTAAGTTTGTGGTATTCATTACAGCAACTGTAGGAAACTAATATAGAAGATGCTCAATATCCCCCTGCAGATTGATTTGTCGTTGGCTGAATGTGTAACTGTGACGATTAGTGTCGCATCCCCAGAGCTAGCCCAGGGACTGGCATGTAGAAAGTGATCAATAAGGATTTACTGAGTGAGTGAATGAATGAATGAATGATTGATGACTGCACTTACGTGATTTTGACTTTACTGCTCTGATGTAGGCAATGGCTAGAATCAAAATACCAGAGCTCTCAGTCATGTAAGTGACACTGGGGGTGCCCCAGCCAGGTCTGGATATGTACTTTGACTGTCACCACCCAGTCTGTGGACACCAGGAAGTGGTGGTTTTATATGTTCTGTTTGTGTTTTTGTGATTTAACAATCACAGTTTGTTACTTGGTCAGAGTCATATATTTAGATTTCACCTGTGGCTAAAATCTCAAGTTTAGATTTTAAACCCACAATTATTTTTTGGACATTTTGATGTCAGAACAAATGGAAGTGTGCTTAATCAAATAGGTGTTATTTTCCCCCTAGCGAATCGATTTTTCTTTACCTCCATAGAAAATAGAAATGGCGAACCTCGAGTCAAACGGCAGGGGTTTATGTTCAGTTCAGCTCACTTATGACACACTGAACGGGCACTGGCTGTTTCCAGGCCCTGAGTTCAGGGCCGGGTGAAGCTCACTCATTCTTGTCCTGCAGGATGTCTGTGTATTGTCAGATCTACACAAGTTAAGTATTTAGAGCATCAATTATGGACACAGAATGGACTCTAATAATTCAGATAGCAATGTCTGTCCCAAAGTGACAGTCAGGGCAGAGCATCCCGTGAAAGGTGGACCCAGTGGACACCCTGGCCAGATAACTCCAGACGCAGGGTGGAGTGTGACCCCCTCGATGCTCTATTGGACTGCACATGGGCTTTATCGGGCTGCAGATGCGGGCACTGCACCCAGTCTTGAGCATAAAATCAGAGCTCTCTGACGGCTCATCACTCAGGCCCCCGCTGATGAGCTGACAGCCGCAGCTTCACTCATCCCAGACAGAGCCCTCGCAGCCTGGCCTCCTGGCTGTCTCACCGGCCTGGCCTGACATTGGGACTCTCACTGAAGGGACACCCGCTGAACACCGGACTCTCTCATCCTTCTTTAGTGAGACTCTGTTCGCCTTGCCTAACCCTAATGCTTACAGACCGGTGTGACCCTCCTTTGTGGAACCGTTCTCCCTGGACTGTTGGAGAGGATCCTCTGGCCGGAGCCTTGGTGAACGCCCGTGGGAAACCGAGTCCGTAGGACTAGACCCATGGCTTTATTCTAATAAAATCTGACACTGTGGAGAGACACAAACGTGTGTGAGACGGCTACTTTGATAGCCATGTCCCACTCACGACATTGGGTCAGCGGAAATGTCTGCTTTACCCCGTGCACTAAACTTACATCAGCACGGGGCCGAGTCAGGGTAATCAACGCGAGGCCAAGGTGCCATTCTTATTCTCCAGAAAACCCATTAGGAACTGAGAATGACCGTGTCCACGATCTACTGTTGAGGTACAAAGCACCCTCACATTTCATGGCTGAAGACAACAGCTGTTTCATTATCCCTTGCAGTTCTGGGGGCTGATCGGGCTCACTTGGTTCCACTTAGATGGCCAGTGGGGCTGGTGCCCTGCAGCTCCTGTGTGGGGCAGAAAGGGCTGGCCTCAGGCCTCGCCTCTTCATGGGACCTCCTCCTTTCTGGGAGCGGAGTGAAGAGGAACTCAGGGCCATGTTGAATCCACCGTACCAGCCTGTGCTTAGATCCTTCCTCTGTGGCTCAGCACCATTTCCTGAGCTTTTAAGGCCAAATTCTGTGTATTCCTGGCTCCCAGCATCATCACTCTAATGGAGAAAAATGATGTGTTTACATAAAACCAGAGGCTGCGTTTACTGGAAAAATTTGTGAACTTGTACTAACTGGATGAAAATCCAGTCATAAAAGTCAAACGCCAACGCTGACAATTATGAAACAACTTCTATTAGGGTGATATAGATATATGACTTGCATATATATATATATATATATATATGTATATATATATATATATATATATATATATATTTGCAAAGGTAACACAGAGAAGGGAAGAGATAGTTTTGGGGTGCTGGGGGAGATGTGCTGAGGAAGAAAAACCCCATGAAGAGAGAGGAAGTGTGTTCAGGCAGAAACAGTCATGTGGGGACGCGTGTGCAACTGGTTGTGACAGGTGGTGGAGACAACCTTGGGTTAATTCTGAACTCACTCCTGGTGGACCTTAAGCTGGGCTAAGGCATTCAGACTTTATCCCCTGAGTCACAGGGAACCAGACAGGACTTTGGAGCAAGGGAGTGGCATGATCAGAACTGCTCTTGAAACGCCCTTCTGGTGAGGACGTGAGAAAGGTGAGGGGTTTGCATAAACACTCCACAGCTGGGGTCGGGGGTGAGGGGTGGGCGGTGTTGATACAAACGGCCAGGAACCTTTGCAGATAGTTTGGAAAATGTAAACCTTAAGGATAGAATTGAGAGTCTCCTGTGAAGTGGACTCACTGCTATTAATGTTTAAACATGAACTATTAATCACAGTCGGCTGGGAGGCAGGCATTCAACAGAAAATTATAGTAGACAACAGTTAGTTCTTATTGGGCATTTACCATGGACATTTCTGGGCACTTTTCATTTATCAGCTCATATAATCCATACAACAATTCTACAAAGTAGATTCCGTTTTGTCTCCATCTTACAGATAAAGCAAACGAGGCACAGAGTGGCATTAGATGACTTCCTCAGGCTCATATAGCGTGGTAGTTGGCAGAGCTGGCCTTTGCATTTAGAACGCCGGGCCTCTGAGCTGGAGCCTTTAACACAGCCCTGTGCTGCCACCTGGCGGTTCTATGTGGGAAGTGCGACCATAGAGGTGTGCCCCTGTCAGCTGGGCCGGCGGTTGCAGAAAGCTACCTGGAGGATGTGAACTTGAAGCAGAAATGAGAAAGGTTGGGCTGGAAGACGTGGTAGGAGAAAAGTTGGGAGGTCTACACGGGAAGCCACTGGAAAAAGTTGGTGGTGAAAGGGAGTAAGATTCTCACTCAAGCAGGCATTAGTTTGTTCTGAGGGCAAGTTCAGGGCTTTCCCCCTTTCCTTTATCCACGGCCTGCGTTGTAGGAGCGCAGAGTGGGACCGCCAGGCTACCAGGCTGCAGCTTTACCTGCACACCGCCCATCAGGGTGGCCTGGTGGTGGAGACTTGTGACAGAGGCTCAGGGGACAGTTTAAATATGAGGCTGGCCACAAGGTTTTTTAACAAAGCTATTTTCAATTAAAAGAATGCCTGAGAATATGAAACAATTTCACATTTCGGGGGAGAAAGCGTTTCTCATTAGTGCAGATTCAGGATGTGCAGTGTAGAAGGTAGGTGACGGGACCCTGTGCAAGTGTCACCCTAGATTCGCTGGGCCCACTGCCAGCTCAATGGACATTCCCAGCCTCCAGCCATCATCCCCTCTCCTATGGAGGGCCTGTGGTGCACTGGGCCTCCCCTGACCGGCTCCACAGGGGGCTGGGTGTCATGGTCACTGCTCTGAGAGGTGGACAAAGCCAGATGGGCAAAGGTTAACCACCATGGCGTGGACTTGAACCAACCAGAGCGGGGAGACCAGAGGTCCCTCTTTGCCTTCCCCCCATGAACGATATAGAAGCATGGGGTCTCACGTGGCCTAGGTGGGGCACCTACGTGGATGACCCAGCAGCTGTGGGGTTTGCTGGGAGGCGATGGCCAGCTCAGTCAGGCCTGGTCCCCCTTCCCTGCCCACCTCCGCCCTCACTCTGCTGCCCTGAGGCTGCACGCTGGTGAGCCTTGATGGGAGCTGCCCTTTCAAGGGAACCCAAGTCTGGAAACACCAAGATGGTTTCCCCCAAGAAGTCACATGAGGAAAGGAAAACCAGGAAGAATCTGAATTTCGATACGCAGTGCTGTCTCAACTATAGAAAATGTACGTGTGCGCTCATGCATAGGAACCACCCCTCCCCACTCCCCCCACGATACCAAAGGGACAAAAATGGATCTAAACCTGCTGAGAACAAGCTACCAGGTATCTTAACAGTAAATTGTTAAAAAAAAATTCTGCTGATTATATTTATTTCAAAGTTCACATAGGTTTATTGTAGAAAAATTGGGAAACACAGAAAAATTACACAGAAGGAAATTCACTTTCATCTTACCATCCTTAGAAAAATAGCCAGAAACTCCCTGTTTCCCCAAGGCCAACCCACATACATGATGGTTTCACCTACTGACCATGTCCCCCCAGATTTAACCTTCTTACGTACTGCCGTCACTTTTGGGGTGTTCTATTACAGTCTGCCATCTTTTTTTCTTTTTTCTTTTCTTTTGAAAGAAGATCCTCATATATTTCTAGGCCTGAGAATGAAATTGATCTTTGCATAGGGGCCTCAAAACTGCTTAACAGTGTTGGGACACAAGGACCTACAGGAAAATGTGAGCTAGTGGGGGTCTATGAGGGGACAAGCCCATTCTTCTGACACGTGCGGTGTTTTTTTTTTAAGATTTTTATTGGGGAATTGGGGGATGGGAACAGACAAGTTGCTGTCTTTTTGTTCTTCAGTCTAGTTGTGGAGGACGTTGCTTCACTGGCCCAAGTTGGCACCATCATTGCGCTCTTCCCGGGTGAGGCACATCAGTCGCTGGCTTCTGGATGGCCGCTCACGCTGGCTGCTGGCCACACACGGTAGCCCATGGCAACCCACTGCAGCAGGGGCTGCAGCCTACGCCGTCGCCAGCGACTCACGGCAGCCCAGCTCCAGGTTGAGCTGTTGTTCAGCATCTTAGCTGTGGAGGGCAGTGTCACTGGCCCTCATATGTGGGATCCGAACCGGGGCCCTCTGGCGTCCCAAGCCAGTTCTTAACCAACACGCCACTCGGCCGGCCCATGTTTTGCCAAACAGAAACCCAGCAATGTGGAGGGAATCTGCCCTTCTCCCCCAGTCCTGCAGCCTCCGCCATTTGTTTATCTCAGATGCAGTGCAGGCTCAGGAAACCATTGCTCCATGTCTCCTGCTGCCTCGGAGGAATGTGAAGTGCCGTGGGCTGAGTCAGAGCCACCAGAGTGATGCCCTTACATTGAAAGTCTACGTGCTGCCACGCTGAGCACCCCATGAGCTTATTTTAGGGCAAGTTTGGATACGCGGATCAGCGGCCTTGACAAGAGTTCTTGACCAAGACAGGAAAGTGATTGCTAGGGAACGTAAGCCACTGACTCACAGATGGCTTTCTGGGAAGGTGGTTTTCTTCCTCAGATCACCACACTTCAGGACAGAGGCAGGAGTGGGGCTTTGAGCGACATGAGACTGGAGGGGCCGCCAGGGGCCAGGGCCACCTAAGGCGTGGGGCCTTGTTACGAATTTTGTCTTTTTCCAAACAGCGATGGGAAGCCACGACTGTGCATTAAATATCACTCTTCCAGGCTAGCGTGGCCAGGGGCTGGAAAATCACTTATTGAATTGATCTAAGAGAAGAAAATCCATTTTTACACCTGCCTTTTGGAATTGATTCTTGACATGAGATAAATCATTCTCCATTGTTGGTCCCGTGAGCTTCCAGAAAACAGGCTGCAGATCCAAGAATAATGCTGCAAACACACAGGGCTGGGTGAGTGGGTGGGCGTGGGGGTGGGAGGGACCCCTTCTCCAGGATGCCTGGGGACACCCCACTGTGCCCAGCAGCTTTCAGCCGCAGCCTCAGCCCAGGCAGAACTAGATCTCCTTCTGACCCCTAAAACCTCACGGTATTGTTGGGGTGAAAGCAACCTGTTTCCCCTAATTGATAACACAGGGCCCCCACTGTTGAGAACAATTTTCTCAAGAACCATTTAGAAAAAGAAGGCCAGAGAGGAAGCTGCCTACAGGAATTCATAGACCCTTTGTGCACTGAAAGTTTGCACGGACTCTCACACATGACTTTCTTTTCTTGGGGCAAAGCCAATGTTTAAGAGAAGCGTTTGCAACTTGGGGGTGACAGTTTTAGATAGGAAACTACAGGTTAAAGTCTAGACAGCTGATACAGTAAGACGGAGCTTCTTTAAAGCAGTGACACACTTCTTGGGTGCCAAAGGTATTTATGAAACAAAGCACAAGGCCAGAGCGTGTGCTCCGTGAGCTTCCTTCTGCCACAAATAAGCTTTGTGGTTTTCAGACTGCTTCTGGACTCAGTTTCTCCACGGGGCCGGAGAAATGACAATATTAGCTGATGCCGGGGGTGGCGTAGGAACCTTGTTTAAATGTTCTGTAATAATAAGCTAAAGGGTAAGTGAGCGGAACAAAATGCAGATTATTGGGTCAGTGACGATACACATTGTTCTTCTATGTCAAGAAATACCCAAACTCCCCACCCCTCGTATTTCTCCCCCCAGCCACAAGGTACTAATTTCTATTGTCTCCAGATATGACGGGGGCAGCCTCGCAAGTGCTTTTGTACAAAACTGGAAAGTGGAAAGGGGCGGTATAGAGTCCCAAGGGGTTATTAATCTCTAACAAATGCCTTTAACTACTGTCAATGGTCTTCGCAGTTTTACTTCTCAGCTATTTCTATTTGAAAAGCAATAGGGGGTGGGGTGGTGGTATAGATGAGGATAAAAGGGATCAAATATATGGCGATCAAAGGAGAACTGACTCTGGGTGGTGAACACACAATGTGATGTATAGATGATGTATTACAAAATTGTGCACCTGGAATCTATGTAACTGTACTAACAATTGTCACCCCAATCAACTTTAATGAAAGAAAAAAAAAAGCAATAGGATAAAGAGATGAAATGAACTCTCCTTCCGTTGACCGAGGCTCAAGCGGCCCACACCTCCACTTTTTTCATAAGAAGAGTGGTTTTCTTCCACAGCTGGTGTGGACGGCCAGGAGTTGCGGTCTGGGTCCCAAGGCAGAGAGACCAGAGACCATGAGGTGAGAGCCTCGTTGACACAAACTCTCCCATGCCTGTAACTGAAAGGGGTGGTCTAGCTGACACCTGACTTTCAGAAGAAAGATCTGGAACCGTAAGAGGCAGAGTAGGGTAACTTTGTGAACACTCTTGTAATACTAAAGTTTACTCTTTGCCGAATACTGTTGACGTTTTTAATGTGTTCATGATGTGAAATAGCACCTAAAGGGAATTGCGTGGAAATGGTTCCTATGTGGTTTGTTATTGGCCAGTAACATTGTACTCTAGGCTCATATATTAATGTGGAAATTCTTTGGGTCCCGGAACTGTTCTTAGGACAGCTAGAAAAGTGTGAGAAAAATGTCCTGGCATGGTGTGCAGACGGATTCTGAGGGAGGCTTCAGGGGCCAAACCAGAGGGATTGGGACACCCTCTGTGCCCAGTCCCTACTCTGTTA